CCTTAGATTTGTGGCCGCATTTCCAAAGTCCCGTAGACATATGGGACATAGCATGCTACATGACTTGTTTTTTTTGCCCGACAGAGTGATGTACCCATCTATTCATCTAGAAAGGATATCTGTATGGAAACAGGAATCAGCTGAGGTCATAATGGTTACTCTAAATATTTGACAACATTTCGACCCAACAGTGAGGGGAATTTTGGTGAAGCAAGGGGCGCGGATTAGATAAGCGGGATGTATAGTTATTAACCGGGGTTGGACGTCCTGTAGAGAGATACCTCGACTCCAACTTTCTCCGTCCACCATCATGGCGGCGCATTTGCCATCCAGTCGTTCGCGGCTGCGGGATACTCGTTTTGCATCACCTATGATGTTCCTCAGTATGCTTACTCTAAACCAGATTGTGTCCGTTTCTGTCAGCCCCAACGGCGGGGTTTGCACCTAAATACATACCCTTGTTTGCGACGGCGGCGGCGTTGACTCATTGATATCAAGACGCCGTCGAGGTTGGCGCTTGTCCGGTCTTCAAGCATACAGGCCTCTAGGTCATTTACGAAGTTTCCTAGTAGGTACATCTGAACTTACACGCTGCTGTTCCATTTGCTGTGCTGACATATTACTTGGTAACAGAATATATCACCCTATCGATGGATCGTCTGGCAACGGAGCTTTTGCTCCATATATTCTGCTCTTGCGAGAGCGTTTCCGATGTTCTCAACCTTGCCTCGACCTGCCGAAGGCTTCGCCGTGTCTTTAACCAATCCCACAAGCTGCAAATTCTTATTGATGTCGCGGAGTACGAGTTTGGACCTCTAGACGAGATCATCCAGCTCGTAACACACAATGCAAGCCAACCAGCACACATCATCCGCCGAGTTCCCATGTCCGAGTCGCTTCTCCGACAGGTAGTGCAGGTTGGACTCGTCGCACGGAAATGGGAGTCGATCTACCCGGTCAAGAAATGGAAGGTTGACTTCGAGAATCGGCGCTCCTTGACTGACGATGAACGGTTTCGGTTGCGCCGTGCTATTTATCGCCTTTGGCTATATCATCGGGCTTTCCATACTTCCAACTTCGACCGTTTCTCGCGTAAACTTCGGCATGTCATTTCTGAGCGTGCACAACTTCTGCACAACTGGTCCACCGTCGAATTGGCAGAGGTTGAGGACATTCGGCTGATCATCACCGATATCGTGCAAAATCACATCTGTCCCAGCAACGGGACTATCCAGCGGAAGTTCCGCAAGCGATATCCCGAGAGCAATCACCAACTATCATTTAATATTCATCTCAACTACCCGACAACGCGTACCCCTGTAGGGGTGCCCGAATGGCCTGACAAGGCTGACCACACAGTCAATCAGTACTTCTACTCCGCTCACCCCACAAATATGACCGAATCACCCGCAAAGTATAGATCGAGATTCCGCAATGACTTCTTTCACGACCCCGGCTTCGAAGGATGGGGAGATGAAATTCCTCATTACTACGTAGTCCAGGATATGATGAAGCTTGATCCTGGACAGGTCCTCTGGTTGCGGGAACATGCGCCCATGAAAGAGCAAGTTGAAGTCTTCATACGATCATTGGGCGAATGGTTTCGTGACAATGGGGAGACATTTGGCGATACTCTTGAGTGGGTGATGAATGAGCGCGGCGATGACATTGGGGAGTTTCGGGCTGCGATAGCAGATCGGGAACTGGGAATCGTGTGGTCTTAGTTCTAGTTAGACTATGTCATGTATAGCATTCTAGAGATTACAGAGTTGACGCAGTTTGAGGTACTCCATACATCAGGCGCTTTATTCGAGGTGTCAATGCACGAGGCGATACGTATGTTTGGGTCAGCCGGGAGTTGCCCTCTTTTCCCTGCTTCGTCGATAGCACATCTTCAGTTTCATTGTTCATGTTCGGAGTCTGCTCAATCTCTTGTGGTCGAGCGACGTCCAATGGAGCCAACTGCTCAGAGCGTTCAAGCGGTGTCCTCCGTTTTTCCGAAAGGTCTGCCTCAGGTACTCCGTATTCTCCGCTGAGTTGGGCTTGCTTGGTACGGCGGGTAAACCTAAACAATCGCAGATCCTCGTAGACATGTGAGATCTTCCCATCAAGTCATATCTCGTAATAATAATATCATAGCTTCGCAAGATATATCTAGTGTATGTTTGCCCAATATGACATGGTGAGTTGACACTTGACACCGAGGCTATCCGCATCTGGAGACGAGCATCCGAATCTGGACTTTCCCAGCCTCTGACCGACTCACTTACACCACCACCCCTGAGAAGCGAAACGAACGCGCCAACCTCACTGTAGATAAGCCAGAAGGGTCATGAAACTCGAGCTAACTAGCGACACTTGCGCGCACGAATCAGGACTGCGTCGGTGGGGGGTCAGCTACGGACTAGATTCCTGTCTTAGGCAAGGGCTTGGTATCGGGATCTGGGTTGAAGGTTGAAGTGAAATTCATTTTTGTGGCAGATGATAATAAGCTTCAGTGGTGATTGTGGACTGCTATGATTGCCATGGCAATAGACTACTTGAGGTAGTGTATTCGCAAAATGGAAGGCGAGGACAGAAGCTGTCATCGGGGAATTTCAGTGTTGTGCATAGCTTACAGGCGTCGCGTGGGTCGCTCCACTGTTTAGGAAGGTGGAGCCTAGGTCCACTGACATGTCGATGCTAATTTACAGTTTAGTCTAGCCTACAGATGAGGCTCGCGAGTCGCAACGAAAGTCAAGTTGTAATTGCGGTTCAAAATGCCCCGATAATTGATATTGGTTAGAACAATGATTGAGAATTGCGAAGTAACGTTGCAATTATCATCTGAACCCATATCGCCTGACCAATGATTGCAATACAACCCACCCATCCTCGACGCCTGTGACCAGAACAACCTTCAAACGACCATCATTGTCATGCCAAGGACAAGTGAACGGGAAGGGATAAGAAACCTAACGAAACAAAGCTGTGAAAGACAAGGGCAGAAAAAGGAAAGTGTCCAGAAGAAAGAAGAGTCAATTTCGTAGTTAGGGCCAATAAGGACAAAAAAAAGGATAGAAGAAGTCGACAACATAATGTCCTGGGAGTAATGATCGCCTACAGTGCCCATGTCCCTGAATTGCCGTTCCCAACGTTCCTCTTGTGTATCATATCCGTGGAGGCTAAGTAACAGACAAAAAGAAAGACCAAGACCATTCAATTATCACATTGCAGAGTAAAAAGTCGTTCCGACAGGCGTGCCTTCCCTTACAGCAGCAAATTGGGGCGACTTCTAACAGCAGCCTTGCTTCGACTCAGTATCCGGAGCCTTGCTGACTTCAATCGTGCGGCCACTGCTGAGGGGGGCCTGTCCGGAGTCACCATTATCCAAAGCCTTGCTGGAGACGATGCGGTAGATTTCTAGTAACATGTGAGTCCAGTGGGCCAAGGAGCCATGAATAGAGGGAGCGAACCTGTGAGGATGTTTTGGAAAGCAAGCTCAACATTGCTTGCATCGAGCGCAGATGTTTCGATGAAAGAGAGGTTGTTCTCGCCTATTGTGTTCCGAGCAGATGTGAGCAAATCAATCCCTGAGTGGCTGCCTGGACAATGAACGTACTCGCAAATTGCTTAGCCTCATCTGTTGGCACGGCGCGAAGGTGTCTCAAATCACTCTTGTTCCCGACGAGCATGATGACGATGTTGGAATCGGCGTGGTCACGGAGTTCCTTCAACCAGCGGTTGACATTGTCGTAGGTCTGGTGCTTGCTGATATCGTACACAAGAAGGGCACCGACGGCGCCACGGTAATAGGCAGATGTAATGGCACGGTAGCGCTCCTGACCGGCAGTATCCCAGATCTGCGCCTTGATTGTCTTGGAATCCACCTGGATTGAGCGGGTTGCGAACTCGACACCAATGGTAGACTTGGAGTCTAGGTTGAACTCGTTGCGGGTGAATCGACTCAGAAGGTTGGACTTGCCAACACCGGAATCACCAATAAGCACGACTATTCAAACGGTCGTCGCAGATTAGTTACGGGCTCTGTTGAGAGGAGTGGGATGCCGAAAACGTGAAACTTGCGGCGACTGCGCGGGGAAAGTGGCAACATTACCCTTGAAGAGAAACTATCCCGGATGCTCAGATTAGTGACATGGAAAGCTTGGCGTAGATAGCGGGTGATAGACGAGTCACTCACATCATATTCATCGTTAGCCATGGTGGGTAGGTAGTATGTGAGCTAGTACGCTCTACAGAGAGTTTCTGAGGAGATTCGACGTGGCCGACTGGAGGTCGTAGGAACTCTAAGGGACAATGGGACAGTGGGACCAAACTAAGCCCTGGGGACGTAAGACGGTCAGTTCCAGGATCGATGAACAGCCTAGAGGCAAAATGGATTGCAGAGGAAAAGCAACACTCACAGGGGAAAAAAGAGCAAAGTGGGAGGAAAGATAGGAGTTATCCTGATGCCTCTGGGGATGAAGCGTCCTTGTCTCCCTACTGCTTCCCGTGCTTGTTGCGGTGCCGAGTTGACGCTGCCTATTCGGGACTAGTGACAGAGCACGTGATCGTCCCCTCTGCCTTGGCTAGAAAGGTTGTTTGTCGTGATCTGTATTAGAAGATGCAACGAGGTTGAAGGTTTCTCACCTGTTGAAGAGAAAGATAAGTCCTTTAAGAAGCGTCTCAGAAGAAGGGTTCTTCCCTGTTGTGCGTGTTGGCATCTTCTGTTGTATTCTTAGTCGAATTTCTCTTTCCCGTTCGATCCTCTACTTAACGGTCTAAACACCCAATAAGGAAAACCAAATACTTTACAGCCCATGAGGCTTCAAAACGTCATGCTAGGCTCTGCCACTTCTCCTTGACATCTTATCATCCCGATTGAACTACGTCCATCCTTCACCAAATCATTTTAATATCGATTCTTTTGGGCCCTTCCGGTCTCATTGCCATCACTCTAGATTTCGATATCTCGCTTCTGCATGCTCTGATGGGAAAGACCATTCCAGCTTGATGTCGACATGAGCGACGATGATGATATCTCGATTACATCGACTGCACCCAGTGAGCAGGAGTCTGAGTACGAAGTGGAAACTATCTTGGCTGAGCTTGAATTTGACGATGGCATCAAATATTTGGTGAAGTGGGCCAATTACCCTATTGAAAGATGTACATGGGAACCCCCCGAATCCTTTTGCAATGAACAGACTTTGATCGACTGGAATAAGAAGAAAAGGGCAATTGCAGAAGGGAAGCGTCCGGCATTCGATCTTATCAGGTTTGAAAATCATCTAGCTGCCCTTGAGAGGGCAAAACATGACAGGAAGCAAAGAAGAGCCGCTAAGAGGAGGCGTCTGGGGCTTGACGGACCCCAGCAAAGTCATCCTACTGCGGAGAATCCGCCGAGTAATAACGTGCCTGACCCAAGAATTCCTGATGATATTGGCTCCAATGACATCGAAGTCGACAGATCAAAGGCTTCATCCGGACAAACTCCCCGAACGGATGCCAGCACAGGAAGTGCGCAAGTCCAAACTCAGCATCTTCCAAAAAGACCACCTCTACCTATCTTATTTGGAACTGCTCCGGCTCCCACGCGCCCGAAAAAGATGAACAGTTCTGAGACGCCAAAGCTGTTCAATTTGTCGACGAGATGGAAGTACGAGAAGGCGAAAGCTTATGAGCCACCTCCTGATGTTAACAAGCTGCAACTCATTCGACCATCCGACTGGCCAGCCAGGGCTGGGCTCGCCGCGGCAAAGACAGGGCTGCACAGCGTCAGCTCACCGAGCGCGAAGAATGACGCCAGTACCGCTAGGCTCGGATCTCATAATGTGAGCTCACCCACGCAGTATGACTCAAGCTCGGCGAAGCTAGGTCCTCATGATGTTAGCTCGCCGAAGCAGGGTGACTTGAGTAGCGTAAAGATTGGATCACACAACGTTAATTCGTCGAAGCAATTCAATGCGAGCCAGGTGAAACTGGACTCACATAATGTGAGTTCTCCTAAGTCGGTTACTTCGGGGAGACTAGGCACGCATAATGTCAGCGGGTCAAATGGACTCAATGACAGTGTATTGGATTCACAATCGCATGATGTCGGTTCGCCAATGGACGTTGATTCGGATAATGAGACTCAAGGCCAAATTGGCCAAACTCGGGAGAATTGGGCCCTGAGTCCACCGAAACGCGCACAGCATGGGTTATACAAGCCGAATGACAGCGTCCCAGACACATATAGACCAGCGTGCGGTGCGGATACGTGGAGACCAGACTGTTTACTGCCAGATAGCTGGAGTGCAAGCCAACCCCTCGGTGACAGTGTGAGACCCAATACCAGCCGCCCAATCCATCGCCATGAACTCGAAGACTATCCGATACCCAAGCTTCCAACAAGGGAACCAAAACCGGGGGCCTACGTCGTCAAGAACCGCCAACTGCATTTCTGGAATCAGGGTGAGCTCCTTGTCTATCTTTATTACGGCCCCGAGAAGAAGGAAGTCGGTTCGGCCAGGCTATGTGGTCTGAGTCCCGAGAGTCGAAGCAGGCTCATGTCTACCAAAAGGGGCAGCCGCATCAATCTCTGGTTTCAACACACATGTAACCTGGAAGAGTATAATGTGCTATGTGGGAACACGGTAAGACAACTTTTCCGACTTTTCTTGCCATTCGCTGCTCTGAAGACTCGGTCATAGTTTGCTTCTTCTGCATTGCGGTCTGGTTTTGTTTACTCCCATAAAAGCGCTTGTTGCTGACCGGGAGCAGAAAAACAATAAGAAGTACTCCGATGCTTGGATAGAAGGGTTCGATGATACAGAGCCGAGCATCTACAGAATTGGGGAAGAACTTCGTCGCAATGAGCTTGTGGCCATATCATATCCGGCTCCAGACAGCAGGATGTCGAACGTATTACTTGCCTATTCCCCGAAGTCCTCAGACTTTGCGTTTCTCAATGCAGATTCTGCCCATTTTAAAATCCCTGAGGACGTTTTCCTAAATGTCGCAGTCCGAAGCCACTTGCGAGGGTTTGACACCATCACTGCTCGGCGTGAAAGGAAACGGCTTCATGTTGAGTCGCACAAGCCAGTACCCCTCGCACTCATAAATGCCCCGGATGCTCCAGGCCACGCTCCCCCCACCGGAGCTGTGGCTACTCGGCCTCGTTCTGTGGGCGTTGCTGGTGTTTCGGCGCCGGAAGCCGTGAGACCTGTCAATGACATGTCCAACCTTCGCATTCAAATCCCGAGGGACAGCAAGGTCTTGCCACCAAAAGCATTTGAGACGTCAAACGTGACAAAACCGTCCGATGCAGCAAATGACTCAGGCTCAACAAACACAACTAGTGTAACCCCAAAAATGTCTACTCAACACTCTGGCGCAGACAATCTGCAAGCGACACCCCAGAACACTCCGCGAGAATTAGAGCATTTGAATGTAGCTGTACAGAATCCCGCACAAGAAAGCGGCGCACTATTATCAACATCGCAGGCCCCATTGCCGAAACACAGAACGCAACCAGCAGCCGAGACCCCGCCTATGAGCTCTGAGGCTCGAACAGCGCCGGAGGCAGGCGCTGAATTTCCATCCCGCCTCAAACACGACGCGGATATGGCTCAGTCTATTGCAGGTGATGTTAAATCGCCGCCGCAGCCGTCTGAGAATGCTCTTGATCTAGATGCGGTCTTCAAAGAACAATTTGGTGTCACCTATGATCTCCTGGCGACTGTGAACGATGCTGAGAAGCCTACGAAGGCTCAAGTATTTTACTTGATGTTTCCTGCCGGGTCCGAAGTAGTGCAGGAAGAGTACGAAGTTATGCACGAGTTTCTGAGAAGGCACAATGCTGTGACTTATTCAAACCGCCTTCCGGAAGATTGGGAGAGATTTGCACGCACAATACATAAGGGGGTTGTCTTGGTCAGTCAGGAAGCACCATTCCCTCATAATCCAGCAGCTGCGCTGACTCAATGAAGGCTCATGAAAGCTTTATGAATTACCATGCCCTACCTTTCATCAGGGACCTGATCCATCGGAACGTCAGCTTCTGGAGTCTTTCTTTAAGAAAGCCGCTACAGTACGCTGACCACCCCACGTATTTCCAACGCGTATTCCCTCATGGTGGTGTCATCCTCATCACAGAAGACTTCATGCTTAGGGACCCAGACGCCACACTCATCATCCTGGCGTGGCTAAAGGATTGGATAAAGCAGAAATTCCCGGGGAGTTGGAAGATCATGTTCCGTCCAAATATCCTGGACTGGCTCCTGAAGCAATCCGAATCGAAGGATCCATTCAGGCAGGGAATGTAAGTCCCTCATGTAGCCTTGTCGCTTTCTCCCTTCTAACCCGGTACCTCAGATGGTTGAGCATGTATGCTCTGATCCTTCAATTAAACAGTCGTGTGGCAGGCTCAGAACGGACTAGTGGAAATATTCTCAGCGGCGCCAGCGGTGAGCCGAACGAAGATCCTGTCATTTCACTCGACGCCATCCCACTCTATGGGTCGCGCACCGAAGATGATGATGTGAATATACCGAAAGGCCTCACGCAGGAGCAAAGGAACACCGACCACCTTGGGGAATTCTTTGCCGGTTGGGCAATAGTCAACAACCACAGATTCAGACGGTTCGTCATGCTCACGGCAGTGAAACCTCTACCGAGATGGGAAGCCTGGCAACATATTGAGATCAGATATGGCGCAAAAGACTTTATGAAGGCCTTCAAGGTCGAGTACAAGACGTACTGGGACAGAGTGAAGCCTAGGCTAGGGAGACCAGGTCTGTCATCGGAGGCGAAGTCCCAGAACCACAATCCTGCCTATACACCGCGGACGCCTGGAGCGAATGGTCCTTCAGCCGATGGGTTGGATGTCTCGAGGGTCGGCGGGTTTTCTCACGGCCCTTCGAGGCTGAAATACCCTCAACCATACCAGTGAACTGAGAATACTTTTCTTTTGCTCTATGACTAGGAGGGCTGGTTTCATGATCTCGTTTTCATGCTCTTCGGTTCAAAGGACGATTTTCACATCAGATACCCATGTAGTAGTAAGGTTTTACACAAACTTCAAGAGAAGAATGACCAGTAATCAGAAAGACAGTGAGAAGAGACAAGAGTCCTATCCTTCGCTGGATTCCAAATTCCCCAAACGCCGTATGACTTAAGCATATAAAACCCAATCGCTCGCTGCTTGAAGTTTGCCTGGTCAGATCCATGAGTATGTATAGGTATCGCGTGCCGGCATCATATATATAATCAAAACTCTCTTAGATGACCATGAGGTCACACAGCATATCCCGCCTAAAATCCCGCTGCACGAGTCCGGTACTCTCGGAAATTGGCGATACTAGGTTGATTTTCAGTCCCTTGACCCTTTGTTTTCTTCTCTTTCTCGCCCTTCTCCCTCCGCATTTTCTCCTCCCACTTGCTCTCCTCGGCTGCAATCAAGGAATGAAAGCGGCCGCCCTGGCCGCGGGAAAGGTATATCGGTTTCTCCTTACGATCTGCTACGGCCTCTGTAATGAGCACAAACTTGACGCTTGACCCGGGTGTCTCGAACATGGCATCGCTTAGAATATTTTCCATCTCAGTGCGGAGGGCGCGTGCCCCAGTTCCCATTGTGAATGCATTGGCAGCGACCTTGTGCAGGGCCGGGGTTGTGAAGCGGAGCTCGATGCCCGAGAGGGAGAAGAGGGTGGTGTATTGCGCCAGCAGTGAGTTGCGGGGTTCTGTTAGAATTCGGACAAGTAAGGGTTGAGACAGTGCTGAGAGTGCAGCGGTGACCGGGATACGGCCCACTAATTCTGGAATGAAGCCGTAGTTTTGCAAATCTGTTGGGTTGAGGAGGTCCAGGGCGTTGAAATAGGGTGGTTCGCCGTCTGGTGATGTGGGTGAAGCCGCTGTGAAGAATGGCAGGTGTTTCTTGTACAAGGCTTCTTCTTCGGACCCCGGTAGGATGGGAACAGGCTGGCTGGATGTAGTGGCGAGCGGATCTCCGGGTCGATGAGTTGGACTCGACTGTGAGCGGACAGGCTGGCCGAATCCCATCGACCCGTGCGATATCCGGTCCATGATGACCTTATGTAGTCCCACGAATGCGCCTGAGAATATAAACAGAATGTTATCTGTGCGCACGTTGTATATTTCCCCTTTCTGGGGGGTGTTGCCTGTGGGAGATTGCGAGAACGGAGGGTTTCCTAAAGGGTTGTTTGATAGATATGAGCTCGGGGTACCACTTGTTCGGTGAGCATTCCTCTCCTGCTTCGCTTGAACTTGGACTGTTGTGCCCTCGATTATTTTAAGCAGTGCCTGCTGCACTCCTTCCCCACTGACATCTTTCCCATGACTGACTTTGGCGGCCGCTATTTTGTCCACTTCATCCAGCACGATAATCCCCCGCTCGGCTTGCTCCACGTCGTAGTTCGCAGCCGCGAGAAGTCGGTGAACACATACCTCGGCGTCCTCTCCGATATAGCCTGCCTGCGTGAACGGCGTACAGTCAGATATGCTGAATGGAACAGAGAGGACTCTTGCAAGTGTTTTGGCCATCAGTGTCTTGCCCACCCCCGATGGTCCTAGTAAGAGGATGTTGGATTTCTCCAATTGAAGTGGAGATGAATCGCTAAGAAGTGCTTCATCGGGATTGGACGTCGTTGACTTGGGACTGGTGGGTAAATGAACGGTGCGTTGCTGTCCCGGAAACTCGTCTTTTCAATGTTTAGCGTAGTTTGAGAAGGATATCAAGGGATATAAGGCTTACCCTCTGCAGGATGATGCTCCAATGCTTCTCTCCGGGCTCGCCTTGCTATCAACTCCGCGTTCTCTTCCTCCCTTCGTTGAAGCTCTTGCACCCGCTGGTAATGGTTGAATACAGCGACACTGAGAATCTTCTTTGCTCGATCTTGCCCAACCACAAATTGATCTAGATATTGTTTCAATGTCTTGGGTGTTATGCGAGGAGCCCCAAACGCCGGAGTAGACCCCAGAGGGCCAGCCGTTGGTAACCCAGCTTCATAGATGCCAGACCAGGGCTGGTTTGTAAAATCCGATCTATTAAACTCGGAGGATGTGGGAAAGGATTGAGCAGAAGATGTAAAACCGCGATTTGCCCGACAAGTCTGGCAGATAGCTACATGCCGATAACGGAGCAGGGAACTGCGATGTGCTCTTGAGGCACATTTAAGGCCATGGGCGCGAACCGGTAGTCGCAGCATCACCAGGCACCAGATTATCGGGAAAGATCTCAGGAAGAATTCCAAGGTAGATAAGTGTATCGCAAGTTAAGTCTATGAGATCTGGCGAAGCTGCGAGGATGACGCTGATAAGATGATGGGGATTGATAGCTTTCCCCGCAGCACGTGAGCGATATATCGGCCGACGGTATCCGACGGGCCGTCGCGCTGTGAGCACTCTGCCCAAGAAGACGGCTCCATGCAAGTCTGAAATGGCAGTGAAATGGCAGCACATATGAGTCCAAGAAGGAAAAGGAAAGATTCCTACACGTGATTAGGTGGTTAAAGCGAAGGTGAAGCCACATATTTAAATCGTGTCAGAAGGAAAAGAACGCCAGTAGCCAGACGAATCATTTCTAATATTTTCAGAAGTATTCTCGACACTATCTCGTGCTGACATTCTGTCATTGTGTGTAATGACTATTATGTTCAAGGTTGGCTAGAAATGCAGCCGACGCACTGATTCAAGATCTAGCCAAATCCGAGGGGTCTGTCGAGTCTTGAGTCTCAAGGGTGAGGCTTCGGTGATTCGAGACTAAGAGACATCCCCCTCAGCTGCTTCTAATGTAGATATGAGCTTTATGAGCGCATCCTATGGAACCTGAGCGGCGCCCGCTTCGGCAAAGCAGCACTTCCACCGACTGGTGCGATGAAAAGGCGTCCTCGCACAGCTCGATCCCGGTCTTATAGGGCATGGACGATATGGCCGGAATAGGTCACAGTTTCGGGTGGAGGTCGATCGAGGTTTTCATCCGTACAGAACACGACAGGTGTGATTGGCCAAACAACCTTCCGTAGAATATCAACGTACTTAAAGTGCGCTCATGGCTTCGTCTTAAAAGCGGGCTGCTGCTCCATTGTCTGTGAGATAAAGTTTCGCAATGCCGCCCACCGATTCGAAGTGGAGCTGGGCTCATTTTGAGTCTCTGCGACGGGTTGCACATTCGTTTGAATGGTCGCCATCTGTGCCATGTTCTTCGCGAAACGATCCCGTTCCACTTTCTCTAGCTTCTGTCTGCGTTTCATCGCACCTGGCTTATGTTGCAAAGTTTTCTGCTTGATGATGTTCACTTGACTGCTGGGATCATTCATTTCCGTTTCTGTTTCAGGCAAGGCATCGGCAAGCGACTCGAGATTGGCAACGAGCTTCTTTGATGCGCGACGCCGCTTAGGGGTCTTCTGGGAGCTCTTCTCAATCTTTGATACGAAGCTGGCATGTTTGATTATACGCTTATCTCTTTTTGTTGTTCGAAAGTCGTCTTCGAAGTAAGCCGACTTGGTGGATGGAACGGCACCTTTCCCACCAGAAGGCTTGTTGGTGGTGTTAGCTGACTTCTTGTTCGGGCGGATCGGAGCCTTGAGATAGCATACAGGTTAGATTTACACACAAATTGGGGCAACAAGAGCCTTACCATGTTGAAAAGCAAGATAGATATGTATCCAAAAGTATCAAGCAAACTATGGCTATGATTATGGTAGCTGGAATTCTTTTCTCCCTGCTAATCCTGTTGTGGACTAGTGTAGATAAACCCCATGTTCTCGATAAGCCCCTCATTCACCGCCCACATGATTACAACAATGCGTGATTTTCCCCCCTTGAGTGAGACCTCAAGTGGACCCCAGTCTAGTAGTCCTGCTAAACCACCTCCGGCGTCCTTGGTGTGACCCTAACAGATAATCACTACTGGCTTAGCCAACCAACGAGACGTACGGCCGCATAGATAGTAGGTACTTTCCATGCCGACCGAAAAATTGAACACTATCAACTTGTGAAATTTCGATTTTCCTTAGCTCCCTAGCCGCCGGGTCGGAATCGGAACAGGAAGATCCACATTCACGGGTACCAAACCCGCCTTGTCTATTTCGCTCTTACATCAGAGGGCCACCGCAAGGTCTCTGAAAGATTTGCCATTCGCCTTGCAGAACTCCGTGGATGCTGTCTTCAGTGCGCCTTTTATCTCGACGGACCTGCGTTCCTGAATCTCGTGCCACTGCCATCCTGCCTCGGTACCCGGCTTCTCAGTTCCTAACCACTCGAATCATAAGAAAAATTTCGCCTCTGTCGATCAGTTCGAGGGCTTTTAAACCGCTAGCTCTCAGTCCTGTTCGGTTCATGTCTGGTAGCAGTATCAGATCTACCTTCAACAATACGATCGAAGCATCCAAGATGGGCTCTCTATCGCCGCACCCCCGGAAGCACAAGGTCACCGTAGTTGGCTCAGGGAACTGGTATGCTTATGATATACTGGGTGCGGTTGAATGCGAAATGGGAAGCTGACTCCATTTTCTTGAATAGGGGCACTGCTATCGCTAAGATTGTCGCCGAGAATACAGCCACCCACGACTCCATCTTCGAGAGAGATGTTCAAATGTGGGTATTCGAGGAGAAGGTTGAGATCCCCAAGAATTCCCGGCACTACGACCCATCTTCGCCCTTGTGCCAGGGACCCCAGAATTTGACCGAGATAATCAACAAGACACATGAAAATGTCAAGTATCTACCCGGAATTGCCCTTCCTGAGAACATCCACGCCAACCCCTCTGTGGTAGATGCTGTGAAAGACAGCACCATCCTGATCTTCAATCTTCCTCACCAATTTATTAACAAAACCTGCGAACAAATTAAGGGCAAAATTTTACCATATGCCCGTGGTATTTCCTGCATCAAGGGCGTCGACGTGACCGAGGAGGGCGTCAGTCTGTTTTCTGAAACTATTGGCAAGACCCTAGGCATCTACTGCGGCGCCCTTTCTGGTGCGAACATCGCCAATGAGGTTGCCCAGGAGAAGTGGTGCGAGTCGAGCATCGCTTATGACCCGCCACACCTGGATTCTAAGGCCCCGTCTCCGAATCGATCCCCCTCCGCATCCACTGTGGATGTAGTTCACTTTGAGCACAAGGATGTTTCTGGCCAGCTTTCGCAGGTTAAACTGCAGCCACTGCCGTCCGAATACCCTCCCGTTGACCACACCGTCCTGAAGACCCTCTTCCACCGCCCCTATTTCCACATTAGGGTAGTGAGTGACGTTGCAGGAGTCTCCCTGGGGGGTGCTCTGAAGAACGTTGTCGCTCTCGCTGCGGGATGGGTCGATGGCATGGGCTGGGGCGACAACGCCAAAGCTGCAATCATGCGAGTCGGCCTTCTTGAAATGGTCAAGTTCGGTGAAAAATTCTTTGGTGCCACTGTCGACACGAGGACTTTCACCGAGGAGAGCGCAGGGGTTGCCGATTTAATCACAAGCTGCAGCGGTGGGCGTAATTTCCGCTGCGCCAAACTTAGCATTGAGAGGAAGCAGCCCATCGACAAAGTCGAGGAGACGGAGCTCAATGGCCAGAAGCTTCAGGGTACTTTGACCGCTGTTGAGGTGAACAAGTTTCTGAAGAAGCAAGGTCTGGAGGACGAATTTCCTTTGTTCACTGCAGTTTATCGTAAGAGCCCCTTGTACTGTGCGCCGCTTTATTTGTTCGCAATTACTAACCCGGTGGTAGGCATTCTTGAGGGCTCCATGTCTGTTGAGTCTATTCCATCTTATATTGAGCGGTAAATACCTAGGACCTGATGTTATGCTTTTTCTTTTGTGCTCATGTTTCTCTTCCTTGTGACAGCAAACCGAGTTCAGTACCTAACGGAGCGGATGGGGTCAACGGAGGTGGCGCCAGTCAGGCTGTCATGGCCAGGTTATGATAGCCTACTTTGGGGGCATGGGAAATAGTAATATCGTTTCCTTGGGTGGCATTGTTTCATTTGGTAAATAATTTGTGTCGGTCTAATTCAGCGCATAGAACAGATGGAAGTTGAGCATAGAAAGCAATACAGTTCAATTTTAGTCACGTTCGATTCCGCGTCTCTACTTTGAAACTGGAAATCTCTATCGATTGCTTTATATTACTATTATCATGACATAGAACTGCATAAACCCCTGGTTCATTAACAGTCCCAAACAAGTATCTTAGGGGTGAGATCTGCGTCGAGGAGGTCCGTGGATCGAGTTGTTGTGTTCCAGACCCTGTGGCTTGAATGTTTTTCCCCGCTGCCAGGGAATGGCTAGATGCATGATGTCACACGGCCCCCGCGGGGCTTGGGTGACTTTTCAGATTTCAGGCACATCCGTGGAATCGTTGATAAGCTGCACCCATCCTTTCTCCTCCAATTGACTTTCCACTTGTATTTCTTTCGATTTGCTCGTTCCTACTATCTGTTTGCTGTGTTTCTCGGTGACTTCTCTCGAGTCATCAACACAAGTCGGTACGCCGGCGATCCCTCCACAGGCCGACATCGGGGGCCTCTCCACGGAGCGACTTTTCTGTTAGGCTATTCGGGACCAGGAAAAACGGTCTCGAAGTGACCGTCAGAAGCAATGGCCTCCCCACAGCAGGTTTATTTGCTCCCTTTGAAAGATGATGGCTCTCCAGATGTGCCTGGGGGATACATATATCTGCCACCGCCCAGTGACCCTGCATATATATTGCGTTTCGTGATTGAGGGCAGCAGTTCGATTTGCAGGGAGGGAACACTATGGGTGAACATTCCCGAGAGCGGCAAGCCATTCGATCGCTCGGTATTTCGGAGCTTCAGGTCAGAAGAAGTCCCGACCTGAAAAGAAGCCCGTCATATGCCTAATTGTGTCGCAGATTGGAGCCAGATTTCAACAAGAATATTCAGATCGATATTTCTGTTACCTGTCCTGGATCCTTTTTGTTCTACACCACATTCACACCCCTACCTCAATTCTCTGTCGACCCCGTGCCGACCCCTGAACCGGCGAGAACACCTGATTACTACGTCGATGTCGCACCGAGGTTGACCCTGCGTGGTAAAGATTTGCCTCTCAATGCACTCTCTATATTCTCCGTGTTGTCTAAGTTCATGGGCAAATATCCCACGGATTGGGACAGACACTTGAATGGTATCAGCCAGCGCAATTACAACATGGTGCACTTTACACCGTTGATGAAGCGCGGAGCTTCAAATTCTCCATATAGTATCTTTGACCAGTTGCAGTTCGACGACGGCGCATTCCCCAATGGTGAGGCAGATGTGGCGCAAATGATCTCGAAAATGGAGAAGGAATACGGGCTTTTGTCATTGACCGATGTTGTGTGGAATCACACTGCTCATAATAGCAAGTGGCTCGAGGAGCATCCAGAGGCTGGTTATAGCGTGGAGACTGCACCATGGCTTGAGGCAGCTTTAGAATTGGACACTGCTCTATTGAAGTTCGGCCAGGACCTTGAGAAACTAGGTTTGCCCACTGAATTCAAGACCGTGGATGACTTGTTGGCTGTCATGACCGCACTACGAGAGAAGGTAGTCAATGGCATCCGTCTCTGGGAGTACTATGTCGTTGATGTCAAAGCCAGCGCTGGGCATATCCTAGAAAACTGGAAAGCTACTGGGTTGAAAGACTCCGCGTCCGAGAAATATGCGGAAGTGGATATCGGCGGATTCAAAGATTGGCCTTTGAAGCAGCAGGCAGATTTCATACGCCAACATGCCATTCCAACGATCAAGCAGGTTTTGGGACGGTTCAGCAGAGCGGTTGACCCTGAATTCGGGTCTCTGATCCTGACTACTATGTTCGGGAAGTATGACTCTTCAAACTCCGATATTGCCTCGATTGAGAAGGCGCTGGCAACTATACTGGATGAGGTCAATCTGCCATTCTACGAGGAGTGCAATGCAGACGTCTCTGAAATTATGAACCAGCTATTTAACCGAATCAAGTACATCAGGATTGACGATCATGGTCCGAAACTTGGGCCTGTCACGGACGAAAATCCTTTGATTGAAACTTACTTCACCAGGCTACCTCTTAATGATATCACAAAGAAGCATAGCCCCAAAGCACTAGCCCTTGTGAACAACGGCTGGATCTGGAATGCAGATGCTATGCGGGATAATGCTGGTCCTGATTCAAAAGCCTATTTGCGTCGTGAAGTCATTGTTTGGGGCGATTGTGTCAAGCTCAGATATGGCTCATCTCCCGAGGACAATCCTTTCCTTTGGGACTATATGACCAAGTACACCCGCCTTATGGCTAAATACTTCTCCGGCTTCCGGATCGATAACTGCCACTCAACGCCCCTGGCAGTTGCAGAATATCTGTTGGATGAGGCACGTAAAGTCCGACCAAATCTTACAGTCTTTGCCGAGCTCTTTACGGGGTCCGAAGAAGCGGACTACATCTTTGTTAAGCGACTTGGTATAAATGCTCTGATTCGCGAGGCTATGCAAGCCTGGAGTACCGGCGAGCTAAGTCGGTTGGTCCATCGTCATGGCGGCCGTCCCATAGGCAGTTTCGATGTTGAGCTGCCGTCAGCGGGAAGCAGTCATGCGATTGCCTCCGCCGGGGTCAACCAGAACCAAGAAAAGATCTCTCATATCCGTCCCTGTCCTGTTCAAGCACTTTTCATGGATTGTACACATGATAACGAAACACCAGCACAGAAACGTGACGCAAGAGACACATTACCCAATGCTGCTCTAGTTTCAATGTGCGCCTCTGCCGTCGGGAGCGTCATGGGCTATGACGAGATATATCCCAAACTTGTGGACCTAGTTCACGAAAAGCGGCTATACTTTTCGGAGTTCTCGGAATCGGCCGAGGTTCATCATGACTGTGAAAGCGGCGGAATTGGGGGTGTCAAGAAGCTGTTGAACGAACTTCACACGATGATGGGAGTGGAGGGATATGATGAAACACATATCCACCATGACGGAGAATACATCACCGTTCACAGAGTGCACCCCAAAACACGCAAAGGGATTTTCCTGATCGCTCACACTGCTTTCCCGGGGCATAGTACTAATGCGGTTCTTGCGCCCACTCATCTTGTTGGAACGCAGGCCAAGCACATCGGAACGTGGAGCTTGGAAGTAGACTCGAGCGATAGCATGAGAACAGAAATCCTAGCGGACAAGGATCACCTGCGGGGACTGCCTAGCCGGATTCGAAAATTCGAAGGCACAAAGGCCGAACAGCAAGGCGATGATACCATTATTTCAGTCCTCGATACGTTCGCTCCGGGATCTATTGCACTCTTTGAGACGTCCATCGCCAAGGCCGAACATGCAGCAGGGTTGGAAAACCACATCACTGAGGGAGCAGATGAAGCTTTTGCAGAGCTTAGTCTGATCGATCTCAATTTCGTCCTTTACCGCTGTGAGGCGGAAGAAAGGGATTTGAGCGGAGGCCAGGACGGAGTCTACAACGTCCCCAACCACGGGCCGTTGGTCTATGCTGGTCTTCAGGGATGGTGGAGCATCTTGGAAGATATCATCAAGTACAACGCACTAGGCCATCCACTTTGTGATCATCTCCGTCAAGGCCAGTGGGCTCTCGATTTCATCGTCGGGCGCATGGAAAAAGCGGCAAAGAGGGAAGGATACACTGCACTGGAGAAGCCTGCTAAATGGTTGCAAGAGAAGTTTCAGGCGGTCCGCGATTTACCAAGCTTTCTGTTGCCGAGATACTTCGGTATCATTATCCAGGTGGCGTATAATGCTGCTTGGAAGCGTGGCATTCAGCTGCTGGGACCCGATGTACGACAGGGACAGGAATTCATCCATCAACTGGGCATGGTCAGTGTGCAGGTAACTGGCATTGTGAAATCTGCATCTCTTTGGCCTACAAAGACCGTTCCCAGTCTTGCAGCTGGTCTTCCCCACTTTGCAGTGGATTGGGCGAGATGCTGGGGCCGTGACATCTTCATATCCCTTCGTGGCCTCTTTCTTTGTACTGGCCGTTTTGATGACGCCAAGGAGCATATCCTAGCATTTGCTAGTGTGCTCAAACATGGCATGATCCCCAACCTCCTAAGTACTGGCAAGCTGCCCCGGTACAATTCTCGAGACTCCGTGTGGTTCTTCCTCCAGGCCATTCAGGACTACACAAAGATGGCACCCAACGGCATCGAAATCCTGAACGAGAAGGTCGCCAGGCGCTTTTTGCCTTATGACGATACCTGGTTTGCGCACGACGACCCCAGGGCATATTCGACGCATTCGACTATCTTGGAGGTTATTCAAGAAGTCTTCCAGCGACACGCGCATGGATTGTCATTCCGAGAGCATAACGCCGGGCCTGATCTCGATATGCAAATGAAGCCGGAAGGATTCCAGATCGATGTCAAAGTCGACTGGGAGACGGGAATAATTTTCGGTGGTAGTCAACACAACTGCGGTACGTGGCAAGACAAGATGGGAGAAAGCGGAAAGGCGGGAAACAAGGGCGTGCCTGGTACACCTCGCGATGGCGCCGCCATCGAGATCACGGGGCTGCTTTATAGCGCTTTGACTTGGGTTGCCAGCTTGCATGAGCGCGGGCTCTACCCACACGACAAGGTTGACATTGCGGAAGGGAGGTCGATCACTTTCAAGGAATGGGCGGCGAAGATCAAGCGGAACTTCGAACGCTGCTATTATGTCCCAGAAAGCCCCGAGGAAGATGGTCAGTATGACGTTGACCCCAGCATTGTCAATCGCCGGGGTATCTATAAGGACCTTTACAAATCCGGCAAGCCGTATGAAGACTATCAGCTCCGCGCCAATTTCCCCATTGCCATGACCGTGTCCCCAGACCTATTCACACCGTCAAAAGCATTGGGCGCTCTGGCTCTAGCAGACTCGGTCATTGTCGGCCCCATTGGTGTCGCTACTCTGGATCCATCCGACCTCAACTACAATCCCAATTACAACAACTCAGAAGACTCTGACAATTTTGCGACCGCCAAGGGTAGGAACTACCACCAGGGACCCGAATGGGTCTGGCAGCGGGGTTTCTTCCTTCGTGCTTTCCTGCACTTTGACCTTGAGCGCCGGAAGACAGCAGAGGAACGGACCGAGGCGTATCAACAAGTGACTCGCCGCCTAGAGGGTTGCAAGCGCGCGCTAAGAGAGAGTCCATGGAAGGGCCTCACAGAGCTTACAAACAAGAATGGAGCTTACTGTGCAGACTCTGTAAGACGATTACCCTATCTTCTGCATTTTTATACATGAAAGCTAATACAATTCTGCTATAGTCTCCCACTCAGTCATGGTCGGCAGGATGCTTACTTGACCTATATTATGACGCCTCCAGACATTCTTGAGACATTTCGTGAAGGAAGCTTTCAACTTCGATGATTGTTGAAGAGAATTGGATATAACGTTTGCATATTAGAAGTAGACCAAACCTATGATATCCGTATACTCCGCTACTCCATTTATAAAGTAGTCTCAAATCTACGCGACTTATCTCATTGGACTAAAGTTAGGCATTATTTATGTGCATACGGAGTTAGTACTTGCTAAGTTACAAAGACCATCTGCTGACTAAGTAGTCTACACAACTCATCATCCCCACTAGTACAACTTTAGCGATGGCTTTGTTTGAGCTTAGAGAAAGAAGCCCAACACGGTCCAAACTCTCAAAGAATCCTCGACCCGGCAGCTAAGACACGGGCGACTATTCCTCAGCATTTCTTGACCTTCATTGATTCTCTGCAGAGCGATTGCATCCCTAGCGAAACCGCAACATCGTGCTCTATACGAAACTCCACCCCTGACGTCAGCCTTTTTGCCCGAACCACTTCCGCTGGGACACAACCGCGTGCCGTATGTATACGTGAACGCCACGATCGACACATAAATTCAGCACACGCTTGGTGCATTTTGAGAGCCATGTCTCTCACAGAGTCCGCTGTGACGGCTCTGGGAACGGTCGCGGCAGCAGCAGCTGTTGACACCGGGGACCATGGGCGGAAATGGACAGATCAGACGAAGAACCAGCGGGATACATACACTCAGCTTGTGATAAGTCTGGTGCTAGGGCTCAGCGCGTTCATGTCATTTTGTGTATGTTGAATTCTTCTTTACGTCCAAATTACTTACTAACAGAGCATTGCGAACAGATCTTACGGCCGAAGTGGAGGGAGCTGTATGCTGCACGGAGACGACAGCGGTGCGCTGCTTCTTACTTACCCGAACTCCCTGACACCTTCTTTGGCTGGATGCCGGTTCTGTTTCGGATAACGGACGAACAAGTACTCAATTCTGCGGGACTGGATGCGTTCGTCGTAAGTGCGCTACTGGTTTTGAGTACATGTGTTTATGGCTAACGGAGGACCGCCGAGATAGTTCCTCTCGTTCTTCAAATTCGCAATCCGGTTCCTTAGTGTTGTCTTCGTGTTCGCTGTCCTTATTATCGGCCCAGTGCATTTCAAGTATACCGGCAAATATGGCATGCCCGATTGGGATCACGACGATGTCGATGACGGGAAGGACGGAAAAAAGAAGTTGATATCGGACCCGAACTATTTGTGGATGTATGTGGTCTTCACGTATGTCTTCAGCGGTCTGGCGATATACATGCTCCTGCGGGAGACGACCAAGATCATCAGCATCCGACAAAACTATCTTGGCAGTCAGACCAGTACAACGGATCGCACTATCCGTCTTTCAGGCATACCCAAGGAACTGGCAGCTGAAGAGAAGATCAAGGAATTCATGGAAGGGTTGCGAGTTGGGAACGTGGAGAGTGTCACTTTGTGCCGTGACTGGCGCGAGCTTGATCAATTGATCGATGAACGCTTAAAGATCTTGCGAAATTTAGAATGGGCCTGGACTAAACATTTGGGGTACAAACGGCCGAAACACTCCGAGAACTCGATTTCTTTGACGCGTCAGCAACCTCGAGGTTCCAGTCTGTTGTCAGATGGAGATAGCGAGCACACGCAGCTTCTTTCGGAAAGTGGGAGGGCCCATATCTCTGAACATGTCCAGAAGCGGCCAACAATCCGACTTCGGTACGGGCCACTGAAGTTGAGGTACAGGAACGTCGACGCGATTGATTACTACGAGGAGAAACTTCGAAGGATAGACGAGAAGATCCAGGCTGCTCGTGAAAAGGAATACCCGCCCACGGAAATGGCCTTCGTGACCATGGAATCTATCGCTTCATCTCAGATGGTCGTTCAAGCGATTCTCGATCCGCATCCCATGCAATTGTTCGCAAGACTGGCACCAGCCCCAGCGGACGTTGTGTGGAAGAACACCTATGTTTCTCGCTCCAGACGGATGATGCAGTCGTGGTTCGTTACAGGGGTCATTAGTTTTCTAACTGTTTTCTGGTCGGTGCTTTTGATTCCCGTCGCTTATCTGCTGGAACTCGAGACATTGGATAAGGTTTTTCCTCAGCTTGCTGAGGTCCTGGCTCGAAACCCTATTTTGAGTTCGCTGGTGCAGACAGGTCTTCCAACCTTGGTCCTCTCGCTGTTGACGGTTGCTGTCCCTTACCTATACAATTGTATGTTTACTCTTTCCTTGGCCGCTGAGTACCTGATTAACTGACCATTTTACAGGGCTCTCGAACCAGCAGGGTATGATGTCGCGGGGCGATATCGAGCTCTCTGTCATATCGAAGAACTTCTTCTTCTCATTCTTCAACCTCTTCCTAATTTTCACTGTTTTCGGTACGGCGACAACATTCTACCAGTTTTGGGAAACGCTTCGAGACGCTTTCAAAGATGCAACCGCCATCGCATTTGCTTTGGCCAGGTCTCTTGAGTCTTTCGCACCTTTTTACATCAACTTAATCATTCTACAAGGTCTGGGACTTTTTCCTTTCCGGCTCCTAGAGTTTGGAAGTGTTGCATTATATCCCTTCTTCTTCCTCAGTGCCAAAACACCGCGCGATTATGCTGAGCTGCAAACGCCCCCAACGTTCAGCTATGGGTACTCCATTCCGCAGACAATCCTCATTTTGATTATTTGCGTGGTGTATAGTGTTTTCCCGAGCTCGTGGCTGATCTGCCTTTTCGGGCTGGTCTACTTTACTATTGGCAAATTCATTTACAAATACCAGCTGCTGTACGCTATGGATCACCAGCAACACTCTACCGGACGAGCTTGGCCGATGATCTGCAGTCGAGTGTTTTTGGGCTTGATCGTCTTCCAGCTGGCCGTGATCGGCGTACTCGCTCTGCGCAGAGCGATAACTCGGTCGTTGCTGCTCGTACCCCTTCTTGGGGCGACGCTCTGGTTCAGCTACTTTTTTGCGCAGCACTACGAGCCCCTGATGAAGTTCATTGCATTGAAGAGCATCGACCGTAATCGTCCCGGGGGCGGAGAAATCTCGCCTTCCCCGTCGTCAACCTTCTCGCCTCCTTCTGGACTTGAACGTGACGCTCTTCCTATACAGATCGGCGGACAACAGCTCGGCCTGAGATTGAAGAAGTATGTCAATCCGAGTCTCATTTTACCTCTAGATGATGCGTGGCTCCCAGGACATCCCGCAGCTCGTGAATATCAGGGGGCTTTTGACGTGCATGAGACACGGAACGGCAATGGCTCCGCGGTCTAACCCAGTCAACAAAGTCTAGCCTTCGAGCTCGACTAGAACTTTCATCGAATCATCTAAGCAGCCAAACTGCCCAGCTTCGTTTCTTTTCTTGCACTTATAGATGCCATACCATACCATATGTAATGCTCGCCTTATTAACCCAGCACATTCCTGGTTTTGTTGCAACCTTCATGAATTCATGATGAATGACCGCGATACCTTTCTGTGAGATTATGGACTCTCTAATGATTTCTGGTGGCTCTTTGGATTTCACTCTTTATGCAAGACCCATGCTTCAATATTGCGTTTCCTGGTTTTCAATCCAGCTGTTCGGACTGCAGCGATTCACTCTTTATGCACATTATCTAGACAACTGTACTGTACTAGTCATTGTTCGTTCATGTTGACCACATGCTCCTATCACCTACTCTTATCTTTACATATATGATGGTTCTTAGACCATTTCAGTTGAGTCCCATCACGCTGTCTGTTACTCTTCCATCAGAAGTTTCCAGAATAGCCATTTAGGCTAGATGTAACATTACCACTCGGACCCATGTCAAGAGCTAGGTATGCAGTGTAAAGGCTTGTAGGAGGATTCGGCACTGCCACATGCACCTACTCTCTTCGAGTTGAGACATGGCTTCTGACTATCTTAAGGAGAATCTTAGGCAATGCAGGTAGTGAACTATGGTCAATCATCGCATTCCTTTGGCTTCTACTATTCCAACTTCCATTGAGCGAAGATGCCTTCCTGCGCAGCGAGTGGAACAGGTAGGAATAGGATGGTCCGAGTTTCTGATATCGTTATGCTACACGATGAGGAGGGAGTCTAGACGCCAGTATGTTCTTGCAATATTCCGGTATCAGCCGCGGGGCCTACGTTTGCTAGAGTACATATCGTCTAGCCTGAGAGGGTCGAGATAACCGAGGAGAGCATAATTCAATTTGATAATACAGAAGAACGTAGCTATTGGCTTATGCATGGCTGAATGAGTGGAATTGAGTTTCAGTCTCGCATTGCTCACATCTCTACGGAGTATGTACCTACTTGGCCGATGTTGTAACCTGAAGTCCCAGGCTACGCAGCTGAGGGAGAGCACGTGGACAAGCCGCATGAGATTCCAGAATCATCGCTGCAGCATGCATAATATAGGACCATTATAGCAGCAATATTGTTTCCGACCTTCTGCTGATAAGTGTGAGTGTGAGTGTGCTATGGGAATGGAATATATTGACTATGTTCTAGAATATGCCAAATGTGATCAAGTGATCAACAATGGCGCCGGGGTCTCGGGATAGTGTCTAGACGAACTCGTTCTGGATTATTGTTGTCTTCACTTCGACAAGCCTCATACCTTCCCGACGCGCATGCGTCCGTTCAACTCTACGCTGCGTATTCCTCGGCTAATTCCCGCAGTTTGATCGCATTCTGAGGTGGTCAGGCATCGATTTGCCATCTTGAGATTAATTCTTGGTCCCTGAACCAGTTATTGGCTCATCGGAAGCACAGCAGCGAATCGTCGCCGTTGCCGACTCATCCAAGATGGCACGGAGTACTTTCCATCAATTAGTTTTGCCGGTCAGGTAAGCTGATTAGATGAGATTTCAGGAATTGAATTAGATGCGTGCAGGTACGGCGATGCGGATTATTAGTAAGAGGTGAACTAAGCTGCCCTATTTTTGCCTTCTAGGAGACCCGCCCTTGGGTCGTCCTAGCCTTCCAGTTGGCCTTACCATCTATCTGAGTTTTGACGTTTGCCGAGTGCGGTACTGAATTCGCCCCAGAGAGCTCTTCCATGATTCATCCAATGCTTTCCTGGGATGAGCGGATGCCACCCAAGTCCATGACCCGATTACGCAGAATTTTAGTTCCCGTTCTCGCCAATGGAGGGTAATCATGGACTGACTTGACTGGCTCCACTATCCGGGTTATCTCACACTCGGTACTCCACTTCTCCAGCATTTCAAACAAGGTTGGCTCTCTACGATGATGACTATCTAGACACGCAATAAGTCCATTGCTTGTGGGTGTTCTGGAGACCTAGCGCCGACGTCAGAATGGTTCCCTCGGGAAATATTTATGCCCATCCATGGTCCTTGGGGGCGAACAATAGAAATTATCTAGCGCGTTTATGCAGATATTTTGGATTTGCCTCTTATACTCAGCTCTTATCTGAACTTCTTCTGCTCGACAACCAGCCTGTTCGCAATTGTATAGAGCATTGGCCTGCCTATTCAAGTTCTGCAGGTCTCCGGTTGCGTTAACAACTTCGTCCTGTCGCCACCTGCTGGAAGGCCAACGTTTGCTGAACATTCTGAGATAGGGCGGCTGTGGCAGGTTAGCCTAAGTGGAAAGGGTACCGAGCTTCCTACGTCCAGCCTTTTATGAAGCAGCCCTTTTGCACTCGTAGGGCACTTGTGCTAATTGCCTCTCGGATGCGACAGCTGTGAAGCCTCGCTTGACAAATCTTATATCAGCAATTGAATTGCGATCAGCCAAAACGCTGCTGACGACTCCAGCTCAGGAGTCGTGAGAAGTCAGGCCGGGGCTCTAGCACCCCACCGCTTTAATCGCTCGTCCCTGCTCGGGTCAGAATCAAGAGAGAACGGTCTATCGCGCCTCCAAGCGTAGCCGCTGCAGGAGCCGTATCTGAATCTAGGGCAGAATGGCGTCAACAATGCTCTCCCGACCTGCAGCAAACATTACGCCGCCAGAGATTCTGCTGCAAATCTTTTATTTGCTTAATCCGCGAGATTTCGACAATGCTCGACGAACGTGTTCTCAATGGATGCGTGCCAGTCTCGACAGGAACTTGCTGGAGAGCATGCTGAAGCGGGCAGGATGGTGGGATGCCTGGAAACGGGACTGCCACAATTACCGCGTTGATCCTTCTGCAAGCGAGCAGAGTCTGGTGTGGAGAATGAGCAGGAGATTTGCCACTGAATGTATCTTGTCTGGTCGCAAGTCTAATGTGGAAAGAGCTGGCTTTTTGACGACGGGGGTCGTCGATTTCTCTCAACTTTCTCAGGGGCAGTCTCTCCTGAAACACCGGGTTTCTGCATCCCATGCGGTTGCTGGCAGTGTCATGAACCCTGATTCGAGAACTCTGGTCACGTCGAGATTCCATGTCAGCAAGTGTGCCAACTATCTACTTGTTACCTCCGGCCGCATGATATACGTGTATCAGCTACTCGCGCGGAAATCTGGGAGCGATGTGTCTACAACAATGGACATCTTGACGGATTTGGATATTGCTCCAATTACCAGCATCATCTGTCCTATTGAGGTAATATCGGCTAGCGTCGACACCAGTACTCCGAAGATTGTGATAGCGGCATTGCTACGTGACCGTCTGGGATTTATTTGTGACTTGAATGCATCGGATGAGCGTTCCTCTACGCGACCAGAAGTTATGCAGTCTTTGGATCCATCATTTATCCACTATTTCCGCGATATCTGCTCCCCAGAAGATCCTCCCCGGAGCGTCTCGATCTGTCCGGGCCGTCGATGCGTTGCTTTTGGCTCCGGTGCTGGCATCGAGCTACATTGGGTTGACGAGAAGACAAAAGAGAACCAGCGAAAGCTGTTTCCCATGTCGCAACCATCGGAGATACTACACTTCCTTCCCCATCGGCCGGAAACACCCATGGAAATGCGGCTCATCTCGTCACTGGCTGGACCAGGGATGCCAGGTTGCGAGTGCCACAAAGTGTCGTACGGGGAAAGGCGTGCCCCTTGTCAGTTTCACCTTCTGACTGACGTACAATCACTTACTCGATGGACTCCTTCAAACAACAACGGTCTGAGTGTTGTGAGGGCAACCCATTGTCACCATTATCGAGCTATCCCAATCAACGATGGATTGCATATCCTGTTCATTGAGCCCCGCACAGGTCTACTCTGTATCGGCTCTGACGCGCCTATCGGTGGACCGACAAGCTTAACACAAGCACTTGTCTGTGTGCCACCGTTTGAGAAGGATTCCTTGAATGTTTCTAAGAATGATTTGGCTCCTACAGTCTTCGCTTCAGGATGGAATCTGGACTGGGGATTGCGCGTGGTCGCTGCGTATGGCGATAGGATCGTACTATATTCGGTACCGGTAGATGTGTACAACGTCATCCGGAAAGAGCGCGAGAGACAAGGTGACGGTGTCATGGGAGACAGTGATCTAGCAAGGGACTTTTTCCTCGACAATTCGCGGTCAGCAAAGCGACGGGACAGTCTTGTGCAAGACCAGAGCGGTGACTGGGAGTTCCTTCTCAGTGTCAGCTGGCGACCAACAGTGATGATGTGGCCGTTCAAGATCTATGGCAAGGAGATTGCGCGTATGGAAAACGTGGTTGAACTGGCTCTTCAGTCTGCTTCTGGGGGTGCGCGAGTCTGGGCCTTTGGTGCTAATGGTGAAACGAACATCATCGACATCGACACCCTTAGCTCAAGCAATCAGCAGAGTTCCAGCATTCCTTGTAAGTCATTAACCATTGATGCTGATGGCAATATCGCCTCGGCTCAATGGGTGGGCAGGACCGACTCCAGGTTGTTGACTTCAGAATCCTCGCGCAAACGCAAATCATCTGATTCTCTGGAGGAATTTGGTGGTCAGCAGTCTGCCATTTGTCGGTTACCACGGTTCTTACATGAGGGATACGTTCCTACGAACAATGCCCTACCCCCAGCGTTTCCCAGCCATGCTGCACGCCGCCCGTCCTTTGCTGCGTGCATCGTGGATTTCAAGATCCCTGAGTTGGGCCAGCGCGAGGGTACCTGGGTGGACGGTGCTTGTGCTTGAGATGTTGGCATAGAAGAGCGTTCAGCGGTGGATTGATTTTATGTTTTGTGGAAACAACATAGCGCGGCGCATGCATTTGGTCTATTATCTATACCCGTCTATATCACTCGACTTCAGGCTTAGTTAGCAATAATACTTTGGATTACCTGTTAAAGTCCAAGAGTATGTCACCAACGAAGGCCCTCGTAACTCAAACAACAAAATGCTCCTAGAGTTCATCTCAAT